TATTTTGTTTTCTATTAAAATATAAGCTATCCGATATGGTATCGATTGTTTGCAATCAATTTCAACTAATGAATACTTGAGTTCACGGAATAGTAGGCTATATCCTTTCCTTTGTAAAAGGCCTATAACGTTATACAAGGGCTCTGTCTTCTTGACAAAGGAACTTTGAAATAAATTTATAATTATTGATTTATTCTTTAATTTATTCTAAAGGATTGAAAGTATATTATTTATACTATCCATATCGATAATGTAATTAAAGCAGCACAACAGCCTATCTACAGAATTCAATCTTCTAGTCCTATATATTATCTCGAAATTATATACAGCTAAAACCTCCACTCACCTTGCTTACCAATTATTCAGGCTTTTCTTTGTTATGAAGTGCTGGAGGCTATTATAATCCGATTTAACCACAATAGTATATCGACTTCTTATTGTATAATAGTGCTATTATACGAAAGCAATATATATTACTAGTAATTTTTGATTATAAATGAAATATCATTATTTTACTAAACTCAACTTTCTCGAATAGAATGTAATGGGGTATTACTATTGGATCGATGCCTTTTTGGTTCCTTCCAAAAAGAGCTGTGACAATATATAATCCAAAGTAAAAATCAATATATCAATTTCGATTATTATATAGAGTAAAAGATTGAAATGCTGGAGAATAAATGCTAATATAAAGACTTTCTTTAACATTTCGAATGCTTTTTGTATTTTATTAATCTACTTGAATTCAATTACTATCTTTTCTTTCTTTATTCTCTTTAATAATATAGTTATATTATAAGCCATTGCCAAATAGGCTTTAATAAACTGTTAGTAAAAGTTTGCGAAACTAAGAAACACTTGTATATCTCTAAGGCTATTGGATATTAGCCATTCCACTATAATCTGAATGCAGCCTGGTTTTATAATAACGCCTACGGGCGAAACGATATATCCTAGGAATTCCATTTTATTAGTATAAAAGATATACTTCTTTAGCTTTGTGTAAAGCTTATATTCGATAAGTTGTATAAGGACTTTTCAAACATTTGTTATATATATAGCTTTATCTCTTAAGTAGATTAGAATATCATTAAAATATATTATACAGATATTATCCGTCAAACCAAATAAAGCTTGATTGATATATATCTGAAATATCGCAAAGATATTAATAAAGCCGAAAGGCATTATCCTATACTCATACTGATTATATTATATACAAAATACAATTTTTCATTTATTCCTTGCTTTTATATAGATTCGATAATAAGTATTCTATAAATCTAGTTTGGTAAATATAATATTTTATCAAAGTTGATTTAGGGATTCATTAATAAGAGGTAGGGGGGTTCGATCCTTTTTGGTGATCTGATTAAGCTCTTAATAATTGATATATAATCGATAACCTTTCCCTTTCTTTGAAACGAACATAATAGATACCCCTACCAAGCTGATAGATCTTCTTATCCATCCTTTTTTTTAATACTCATCTAAATATTCTTATAATATTGTTAACTCTTCCTCTAATAAGGAATAAATCGGGCTTCAAAAAGAAATTGAACTAGATTCAAGGTTAATACAATGCTTTATCGGATAATATTCAGACAGAAAGCTACTTTTGTCTTTCGAAAAAGCCTTTTTGTATTTTTGGAATTCTTCTAGTATCTTATATAAAATTAATACGAATACCAAGCAGCCCCCTTTTATTTTTGATTATAAGATTATTTTGTCTGAAAAGATCGCAAAGATTACTTTATCTTCCTTTATTTCCCAGTAAAATTCTTTTATAGGAATAATCTCAAAATTGTTTAAGATAGGGTAATATCAGAGTGATATCGATTTCTAATTGATATTGGGGTTGATTGTTTGTAATTACAGAAGATCTAGGATAATGTCTATCCGTAATAGATCCAATATCGCTGATGTGAAGCTATAAGTATAAATTTTCTTTTCCCTTTTTTCATCTTTTATTTCGATAGGGAATTTATGGTTTTCGTATAATGTAATTGTAGTACCATTTGCTGATATAAGGGAAGTGCTTTTTTTAATAAGGGTTCAATTCTATTCGATACACTTGCTTTGCTATATAATATTGGCTTATACTTTCAAGTCAATAAAGTATTAGAGTGCTATTAGCTTACTATTGTTATTAAAGATTACTATAACTATAAAGATTATCTGTTCTTCTTTGTATAGATTTAGTATTAATAGAACACTCATTATAATTACTAGATTTAGGTGTTTTCCGTACAAATAGCCTCAAAGGGGTTATTTTAGTATTTGTTTTTTTTATACCTTCCCCTACAACATCTATATACAAAATCATTTCGATAGTTTAAAGCGATATGCCTTTTCTATTGGTATTTATAATATATAGCGGTCTGCATATACTTTATATATAATACATTGACAAAGTGTTTTGATATCTTGAAGGATTCCTTTCGAAAGGGTTGATTTGATTTTTGAATTTCTATTTTAATAGTTAGGATTGGATTGTTTTTCAGGTAGGGGTGTTTAGATGAATTTCGATATTGAGAGGGTGATTGGTTATATTTGTAGAATCGATATGAGTTCTTTGTGTCTTTTTCTTGGAATAATTTCTCTACATTTTCCAGTCTACAGGTTTATCTTATAAGCTTATTATGTGATTTAGGTTATTATAGGAATTCCGATATTTTTCTGGTTATATTGGGTAGTAGATCTGCTAAGAGTCTCTCGATCCGAATACTCTCTGTTTTCTACTTGATGTTTTTTTCAAGGTCTTTTAGATAGGTTACAAATATATTTACAGTTTTTTCTTCTTTTTGTTTTGTATATATAATCTTTTGGATTGCTTATTGTTGTTTAATTCCTTTGTTTATGATAGTGTTATATATGTATTCCCTAAAGTTTTCCTAGTTTATCTCTTTATAACTTGATTTGCTTATATATCGACATCAAATCGCTAGAGATATCGCTTTGAAATATAATTTCTGTTTGGAAGAAAAAGTTTTTAGTTTTCTCGATATTCTTTTCTTTATATTATTTCAATCTCTACAACTTCGATAGTTTTTTTCGATTAAGGTTGATATTTTAGTAGATTGTATTCAGTATAGCTGCAGATCGGTTATGCTCGACCAAGGTGATTGTATATAAGATACAGTTCATAATCATTTTGTAAGCTTTTCTTATAACTACTATTTCTTTTTTTATTTCTTTAAATTATTAGACTAATAATATATCCTTATTATTATTAAAGGAGTGTAATTGGGCTGAGTAAGTATTATTACTAATACTCTACAGAAATTGATCGATAATTTTATTGGATTGGTTTTGAGTTGTATTGTGGGTATTCCACTCTCCTTTTAGGATAGGTATTCTTTTTGTTGAAATCATAATGATATTGATGGTTGTTTGATTAAGAAATAATTGATAAATTATTTTATATAGGGGAATAAAAAGAATTGTTAAAATAGATAATAGTAATAAATCAATTAGATATAATATAGTATAAAGACTTTTTATTAATCCTTTTAAACTATAAAAATTCTACAATTTATAATTGTACACGGGTTGGCGTTGGCCCGAAGTAGCTTTGCAGGGGCTACTCACGTGCCCTCGCCAGCCCTTACACGGATTGACCGTGACATTGATCTTGAAAAAATGATAAGGATAATATTGACATTTTGAAAGAAAATAAATTATCTTTGAGATTTCAATAATTAAAGAAAAGATTAATATATATAAATTCATTACAATTATTAGGATTTTTAAGTTTTATAATATATATTTGTATTTACTTATTACTATATTAATATAACTTTTTTAATATTTAAAATTAAATAATCAAATAAATAGCAAATAGTAAGTAATAAATAAATTGTTTAATTAATTAATCAATAAGCAAATTATGATGTATTTAAATAATTAATTAATCAAATAATCAATAATTCAAATATTTGATTTGAATTTCTTTTTTTAAAAAGAATAAACAAATTAAATAAAGAATATAAACCTAGAAATATTCTATTAATATATAAAATAAGAAGATCATATTTTTATTAAACAATAATACTATATAAGATAATGATTATATTCATTAGATAATTAATTATTATATTAGATAATAGTATATTAAACAAAAGAAATTGTTCTAAGCAAAAATGTCCGCATGACGCGCCATAGGAATCTCGACAAACAATCGTCTAGTAGTATCTTACTCTCCTTTCCCCTGCTTTCACCCAACTCGTCAAGAGTCAAATATGAGAAATTAAAGTGTAACATTTAAGCGAATACTAATAAAGGATTGATCCTTGACATCTCTCTTCATAGGCGAGATGAAGAAACATAAGGAGCTATAGGCGTTTCTTTCAGATAATCATAAGACAGTTCATGTTGTTACTGTATTGACATGGTCTGGACAAGTGTGCGCTGGAATAAGTTTTAATTTCTCTATTGGCGCGAAAGTTAGTGTGCACCAATGTAGTGATTTGGGAAATTCTAAATATCCCTAGAATCTCTTCCTACAGCCTTCATGCCTTCACGCAAAGTATCAGAAGCGAGGTTCAATTACCGATGATTGTATATATAAACATAAAAACATTCGAACATACTTGAAAGGAAACTTACATGTGTAGGTATTCAGAGTCAGTTGATCAGAAAACAGCTAACACACTCAAAACTGTCCTTTCCCGGGTCGACTCCTCGGAGTCGGTACATGCAACAAATTCGAATTTCGATTTCTGATCTACTCAATCATTTTGGCATAGGGGTTCTCTTTACTCACTGATCCGTTATGTTTGGCGCAATAACTTATGCATCCCCTCCAAGTTAATGAAGGTTCGGTTTCCACATCAACTCAGTACGGGCCCAACCCGCGTCCATAACCTTATTGATGCTGAGCGATTCGTGCTAACCAACAGCATTTGAGATACCGCCCCATTGAACAATGGAAATATTAGCCATCGGCGTACCGTACCTGACACTCTACAGTATGCTCACCCACAGATAATGTCCATAATATGCGCTCATACGGCCATTTTTCTGCGACCGAGGAACAACCGCGTAGAACAATGGCCACAATGCCTTTGTGAGAACCGTTTCCTAAATGTCTGCAGTATCATTACAATGGATATACCTTCTAATGAAGGAGGTTCAATATGAAGCCGTAGATAATATGTTTTTGATTATGCTAGCGTACTTCCTGTAAACTTCCATCCATTCTTAAAGATTTGTTGAGACCCAGCTTTTCGAAAAAACATTGAAAAGTTCTCTACAGTATTCTAATAACCTTCAGAAGAAGTCTAAGAAAACTGATCAACATACTATCAGCGACTTGTACAAGGACATACTGATAACATTTCAAAGTCAAAAACAACTTCACGAGTATCCAAGAGTCTTCTTTACTCTTCAACCTCCAACCTAATCTCAATTTACTTGCCCAATCACAGCAAGTCTTTACAACAAACACCAAGATGTCTTACCCAGAATATCTTGATGACATGGAATCTCAACTCGCCAGCTACTTAGGCGAAGATCCATCGACATTCTTTTCCAGTGAGAATGCAACTGTGCCAGCTCCCGTAGATTCTCTCGAAGAGTTATCCTACGACATGAATGGTCAATTCACCTGGGATGACTTCCTCAACGAAGAGGGAATCGAAACAACCTCTCCTCCTCCCATCACCTTGGAATGGAATCCAACTGAGGCAGATTTCTACAGTAATGAAATTGCTGCGCCTCCAACGGTCGATGAGCACATTCCTGAAGAGCCTACGCAGTCATCGGGACAAGAGGAAAAGACTAGCACCAACATCGAAAGCGAAAACACCAATGAGCAATCGGTTGCAACACCTTCCCAGCCTGAGCCTCAGCCGGAAGAAAACACAATCATCCCTGACGATGATTCCCTTTTCGGTGGCAGCACCTCTAACGACATCGAAGTTCCAAAGATCAATGAGAAACATCAATCCGAGGTCTTAGCACAAGGAGCTAACAGCACTTCCGAACTTGTGGCTGACATACCACAACATGGCGACAGTGCTGCCTCCGCACCAGTTACTTCTGGTGTAGATCTTGACAACACCGAAGCGGATGATGACAATGATTCTCTGTTTGGTGACGTCGATGATTCTGGTCTCGGTGACGGCTCCCAGCCTCCAGAAAATAAATTGCCAGCAGGTGACGATGCACCTAACGGCACACAAGCAGATGATGTCGACGACCTCTTTGGCTCCGCATTTGGGGATGATTTTGAGGCGGAACTTGAGGCGGAACTTAAGAAAGACAGTGCCAACGCTGCGGCTCCCCCCATTCCGAAGCACACTGGGCTTCACCTTCCAAAGCCTCCTCGGAAGGTAGCCAACTCTCAGGGGTTACATCTTCCTGACCCCCCACGTGCAATTGCAAATCCACAGGCATTGCACCTCCCTGCACCTCCCCAGAAGTCGGTTGCTACTCAAGGACTACACCTCCCCGAGCCTCCACGTGTGGTGGCTAGCCCACAGGGGCTAAATCTTCCTGTCCCTCCTACTCTGGTAGCCAACCAACAGGGGCTGCACCTACCAAGTCAACCTTCTGCGACAGTCAAACAGCAGAGCGGAGCCGACATTTCGGCTCCAGAAGAGACTGGTGATCAAGAGGACGGCATAGCTTCGACCAGACGCCGCAAGGTCAGAGCTAGCAGAATTCCGAGATCTGACATGAGTCGACCAAAAGGTAGGGGACAAGCAGGCAAAGTCCTTACCCAACTCTCTGGACCGGCTCCTTCTCAGTTGCCAGAAAGTGAACCAAGCTCATCTTCTGGTGCTAATGACACAGCCGAGAAAGTTACGCATTTGCCTCGATGGGCCTTTGGGAAGTACACTAGCTTTAGCAAACCTGTTGCTGGCAGTAGATATCGAAAGCCAAACAACTCGGAACAAAACCCAATACCAGTTGAGGATGAGCAGGAGTCAGTGGAGAATACTAATGAGCTAGCCAACACTCAATCGCAGGGTGTAGCTCAATCAGATGCGAAAATAGTCGGTGCCATTGACCTCACCTCTGATACCGGGAATGACTTGGTTGTGGATGGTAGCGTCCAACAGGGTCAAGATCCAAACCATATTGATGGTGAAGACTCCACTCGTCCTTATGAGAACTTCCAAATCCCTGCCTCTGGCAATGACATGGATTTTACATTAGGCGATAACGAACTCCTGAATTCTCTCGGCGAATTGAACTTTCCGCCAGTTATTGATGATGCGGGTCCAGCTCCACAACTGCAGACATATCAGGCGCACAGTTCCGCGCCCCTGGAGATTGCACCACCTGTCGCTCCCCAGAATGGGGTTCTTCCTCCTCCTTCCAGAATGGAGGATTTCTCGCTATATGGACAAGGTCCATTGGCCAGCAGGGACAATATCCACCATTTACAAGTACCTAATGTACATGGTGCAGGCACATTTGCATATCAGCCTCCAAGTATCATGGGGCAGAGCGGTGCAGAAAACTATCAGCCCGCCAGTCAGCCAATGCAGACTGGTCACTTTGAACAAGGAAGCGGGTATGGTCTAGGCGATGACATGGTTCAAGCCACCCCTGCAGACATTGGAGGCAGCAATTCCACAGGATTGAACGACAATGGTCCCAAGAAGCGTCTCAGCCATGAACGTGCTGAGTATAGTGATCCTCGTGTATTAATGACATACGACGAGTTCAAGCAGATATTTCCACAAGAACCAACACGTGGATGCTTTGAGGTCGCTATCCAGAGCGAGCGGGCAGCAGACGCGGCAATAGTTGCCAGGGGAGGAGTTCCTCCACAGAGACCGACGATCCGCAAGTCAATAATTTGCACCTGGAGCCAGGTGCAACATCTGAATCGGTAAGTTTTCTCGAAGATCTGTTTGAGCCTTGATGAATTTATTGCTAACTGATACTTTCTAGAATCCGTGCTGCCAATGGCGAAAAGCTTTTCGAACCAAAGCCGAATGCCCACAAACGACTGGAAGCGTTCAAAGAGAGCTTGCGGAGGAAGAGACAAGAACGTGGTGAAGCTTCTGAATCTGAAGACTCTGACATGGAACCAGAGGCAAAGCGATTGAAAATCGCCTCAGGACCAGTTCAACATGCCACATATCATGTTGAACAACACAGTGAACAGATCCCGGGGATGCATCCCACTCAGCCTTCCCATCCGCAGGTATCGGCTGCTGTATCGCATTCTTCGCCTGATCATGGAGTTTCTCAAGGCCCCCATTCTCAGAACATGGGTCAAGCTTCGGCTATGTACATCCATCGACCAGTGGCTCAGTCTGCCAAGAGAAAGATGGTACCAGAGCAGTTGGAGAGCTTTGAGTTTGCGGAGCAGGGAATGGGACCAACTGTCAAGCGACCGAGAATTGCTGCGCCATCAAGAGAGAACACCAAGCCAATGAACGATCAGTCTATGGCTAAAGAATTCGCAGACTACGTCTCAGAGAGGCAGTCTGAATACCTGAAGCTGCGTGTGGCAGAGCTAAAGCAGCTTTGTAAGACTCGCGGTATCAAACACGGCAATTTTAATGGTTTATCGAAAGGCGGTATGGTTGGTGTTCTGGTGGGACAGGATGTCAACCGTCACCCTATCTATAGCCGAATGCATCATCAAGCCCAGGCTAGAGTTGCAACCGGCCGGGAACATCCAATCCCTGGTGTTGGCAGAATGGGTGGAATGAATCCACCATCCGTTGCTGCAAACCATAGTCAGCAACAACTCCGGGTACCGAATGGCTGGGGAATACGTCAAAACCTACCAGCACCCAATGTCGGTCCAGCTCATGGCATGGGATTGAACCATCATCAGCGAGCCCCGTCACAGTTCCCCCATACTAGTGACCATAGAACACCTAGCCTGGCACCCATGAGATTTGGCAACAGTGAGATGCAAGTGACGAATTCGGTTCCCATTAGAGGTCCAAGTCATGGCCATTCACGGCCAGTCAACGTCGGACGTGCTCAACAGCTACACATGAATGGTAGTTTGAGTGGACTGGTTAATAACGGCGGTCAACCACAGTCGAGTATCAGACAGGCCCCTCAAGGTCCCACGATGCATCCCAGTGCTGCCAATTCGTCTGCTCGATCACAAATACCGGTCAGCGTCCAGAACAGTGGTTACAACAACAGCGGCATCCATCAGAATATAAATGGAGGCCGCAATAACCATACCAGCACCAACGCTCATATCCCAGCTTATGGTATCGCTGGCGATTTTGGTGCTGGCATCTATCAGCCAGCAGTTGATGACCGTCGAAGAAAACCGAGGATCGTCGGTCAAGAAGCACCAAGCAGAGTTCCTCGAGGCAATCAGAGGAGCGCCCCAAAGCCACCGGTGAACTTGCCACAACCTGCGATGAATAATACCGCAAGGAGTTGCACCATGACCCAGCCCTCTATGGCTGGCAGGGCCAGCGGCAATATCCAGATGGGTCATCAAGCAAATACTCTTGGTGGCTCTCAAATACCAAGGCCCGCCCAAAGTGGAAACATGGGAGGCGATCCCCGAAGATTCATGCAGAATCGTCCTCAAGGTGGCCTCTACTCAGCCCCTGTGCAAGGTCTTAATCAGGGAGTCCAGCAACAGCATGCTGGAGCTCAACTTTCTCGACCACCTTACCACGGTCCGCCTCGAGGTAATCCGTTCGATAGGCAGCATTCTGGTCCCGCGCCACCGCGCTGAGCTAGAGGGACTGTGGAAAGGATTGGGAAAAAAACATTTATTTGCTTGAGAGAGTGCTGCAGAAAATAGGATGTTTGGCAACAGTGTATGAATCGTTTCCGGGCGGATGGGTCTTGATACAGCGGGTTTTGAAAAACATGGCTGGCGAGTTTCGGTATAGCAAGTTGATAGTCTCTTTTGGTAATAGCTTTTGGTTAGAATTTTTGATATCCCATGTTTTTTATAGGAGTTTCTAATTTATGTTGGATTGTATACCCCATATTGTCTTTTGGTGTTTGAGTGTTTGGGTCAGAAAGACTTGTTGTCGGGAATATGAATATACTAATTAACATATAAATTGTGGCTTGTGGAAAGCTGTTTATTGATACTAAATGAATGAATATCAATTTAAGTCCTCATTAAGAAAGCACAAGTGATTTGGTGAATTGGTGCCACAGAAGTCGGTGATTGTGAATTGTAATGCTTTTTTTTTTTCGAAATGGTAATGGCTCGGAGTGCCACGGATATCACTGATGTAATCCGATCGTATGGAACCTTCCATAAGCTCAGAACCTGCGGGTAAAGATTGAGTTAGCTTGATGATCTCAATATCTCAATGGAGATTATTCTGCATATATATATACATACCAAAGGCTCGTTTCTTACGCTTTGAGCTGCTAGCAAAAAATTTCTCGCAGACTGTTTGTTCGTGAGAGAATTGTGAAAGAATGAGCTTACCTCTTTGTGCCGATCTTCATTCCAGAAGTTTACAGATTCTCCTTGTAAAGTAGCTTCGGATTCATTCATTATAATGGATGATTTTAAGGTGACAAGAAAAGCCGAATTCGTTAACGTCAATCAGGCGATGTGTATATGCTTTACTTTACAGTTGTGAGCCACAACAATAAATGCATGAACTTTAGTCTTGAAAGGAGGAAGTGACCTTTGCCCTAAATGAGTTGAATCAATCAGTCGATGGAGAACATCATTTTCATCGATCAACTCGAGGATCAATAGGAAGGATATAGAGATTTATTAAGTACCTTATGCTTTTAGATTAGAGTCAAGTATGCTGGCTTCTGAACATTCTTGATTTCGTGGGCTTCTTTCCTTTCTGCTCCTTGATATTTGTGTTTTACAAAAGAGTTGATCTTTCATGATATTACAAGCTATTGATGTGATCTTATTTATACAGAAGCCAAGGATTTAGGTGTATATGATACATCGAAATACATCGGCTACATGTATTTACAAAGTTTTACATGGTTAGATACTGCATTTGGCTTCAGTCCGAATGGCTGTGAAGCGAAATTCTCGCTTCAAAATATTACGACAACAGTATTGAATTAGACACTAGTTAGAGCACAGTCAGACTAGATGGAATAATGGTTGGATCATTGATTAGCGTCGAAATCCAAGTTGGAGAACACAGCCACTTGCCTTTTCTTTCGCATAGTGTTTGCTTGCAATCCATTAACCGAAGTTCACAAGCAGAACTGGTTCAATGAACACGTTTCCAAGACTTTCTATCAGATTTAATCTAGTGCATATAAAAAAGTTGTATAAAGTTCTCCTTTTCCGACCTCTCTAATTTAAATACATATCCATAAAACTTCATTCCTTTTGGAATCAAATTTTAATATCCTGATCTCTAAAAGGACTAAGATGAACGAAACCGTTAATTGGCAGACTTATTCACGCGAGCTTCACACCACTGTTATGTCTATTGTGCGATCCTTGACGGTTCTACCGCATCCAAGAACGCTTAGGATGATGGCAAAAATGGGTCTGGAGTATTCGCTGATAATAAGTATACTTCCTTCTGCGTATAACTCATGGAAGGTTCAATCCGAAGAAGATCATTGTTGTTAAATTGGAGTGGCAATATCTACCTGATTGTCCTGGCCCGAGGCTGGTCATTGTCAACCGCCGATACCACGCGACGTCGCCGAGGAAAAGCTCTAACTCAGTTCTAGTGAAGTAACAATGATCAATGAAAAAAGGAACTAGATGACAATGATTCATATCAGCGATACTAATCATGAAAACTTATTTGTGTGACGTTCTATGACGTTCGATTTCCTGATCGCGTACTAGTAGAGTAGTCTAAACTACTAATCCTGGAGAAGAGAATGCGAATGATGAAACGGAAATCCATGACAATAATGAGAAAGACAGTGAATGAATCAGTTGCAGACGATAGTAGTATCGACGTCAAAAAATCGCAACTTCTCCTCCTAGGGGACCATTCAGAAAGACTCAAAGCTTGAGCACTCGTAAATCGTGGAGGGCCAGAATGCTCAGACAATCAATGCGATATTTACAATCATTTCGTGTTTCTGATTTTCTGAAGCTCATTCATGAATCGTTGTTACAGACAAAATGGCTACTTAACAGTCGAATTAAGTCAGGATTCGCTCGTCATTGTACCGAAATTTCGGTCTTCTCTTCTCCTTCTCATTCACCCGCGCGAATGTAAAGAATGTCGATCAAGATATCAAACAATCTGTGCGTAAAAAGGTACCAGAAAATGTACCCGGTGACCCCGCACCGTTTCCACTCAAGTTCTCCAAGAAGCTCAGCCATGATACTACTCATTCACCAAAGACTTTTTAGACCCCAGATTGCCCGCTTTTTAGCACACGCCCTGAGCGATGTCGTCAGATCATAGGGACCACGGCTCATGCTTTCAACTTGTAGCCGCACATCTACTCAGAGAAGCAATTTCCTTTCGTCCTTCGGCTCAGTCATCACATATAAATAAGCAAGCTCCCGATAAACACGGAGATCCCGACCGGCATTATGACTCGTGCATACATGGAAATAGCTGGTGAGCAGCCGAGCAAGCCACTTAGCCATGTGATTTCATACTAGAAAGCGGGAACAAGGCAACCAAATAATATCTAGCAAGAACACTAAGTGACATTGCGACGAATGATAAAGCGAATGAATTATACTGGTGAGAATACGATGATGAATGCTAGTTCAGCGCCGCTAATTACGCCCCAGCGTTTCTCATACCACCATCGCTTTGCCGCCCCCATCTTCAACGTTTAATGAATGTCATTATAAGAATAGATACTCAATCCTGAAACTAATGAATGCCACGCCAAAATAGCGGTATCGGAAAGGAGTGACAGCACAAACGGAAAGTAGTGGGATCTGACCAAATATTCCGAAAGATCGGTAAATTACCTTTAGATTAGACAGAAACCCTTGGAGGGTAAGCATAGACGTAAGCATAGTCAGCTACCCACGTGGGTAAAATATGTGATTTGAAACGCATGCGAACATGCGATGCGTACTTGGGATGGATACATTGATTGGCACATGAGATGCAAGATGCCATGTTATCGGGCAGCCGCAGGGCAGCTCACCTCGTACGTACAAGCCATGGTTATTTCAGCATACTAGTCGGATGGAAATATTGGCTCTTTAGGTACTATATAGTATAGTATAACGTGAAATATGCGTGGTTGCGGCACAGTGGTAGCGTGGTGAACAAGGTTAGGAAGCAAATTGTATGGCTGAGAGGTTACCGACTGCGTGGTTCTGCAGGGTGCGTGCAGAACAAATGCGTTTTAGATTGGAAATAAAAGCTGAAAAAGTAAGGTTAGTGTATATGCTAAGGAGGGACTTGTTCGTCAACGAATGAATCGAGCAATGAACATGTCCATATTTGGCCTGGTCGGGTAGATGTACTCGGCGAGCGCGAACAGATCAAGAACCTAAGGTTTTTAAGTTTCCCGTCCCGCCCCATTTCTCTCCTCCACCTCCACACCTACACATGTTTCATCTCAAACTGAACACACTTATTTTCGTACCTAAACATCTTTCCCGACTAGGCCAATCACCTGATCGCACCTTCATGCACAAAAGCAAAACATCTTTCCCGTATATTCAGAATCGGAAGTCGGAGCTGAACCTGACTTGGGTGATGTTACACGAAAACTAGGGACATTCCGGGGTGCCAAGAGTCCTGAAGTACAGACCCGTGAATCATTGATGTACTTCGCACAAACGGACGGGCTGATGGACTTTCAGGTTGTGATACAAGAGTGACAAGAAGAAAGATATCACATTATGACGGAGAATTAGTATGAAGTCTGTACGCGTCTTGACACGGGTGGTCTTGCCGCTTGTGTAACAGATTTTGCATTACTGACCTAAATGTCATCGATGCAAGTGAGTATATATTTCTTTTTTCTTGCGTTTCTTGGAGTGCAGTTTGGAGTGCATACATGCCGGTACTTACCTAGACTTTTTCTTTTTTTTCTCTTTCTACTCTGCACATAATACATACGCGCTGCAGCCGTATCACAGAGATTCAAAACGTGGCAGCCCAATATCTAACCAAACCCAAGCCTTGTCCAAGAACGCCTTTTCTAGCAAACAGCTGATTGTGGAACTAAAGGTTCACTGACTCAAAACCGTCTCCCTCCCTCCAATATCCTCGAAGAATATGATTCGGGTTATTGACGAATGCTCGAATAGTCTGACTGATTTTAATGATTAACAACCTTTAAAGTTTTTTGTAAATTAACTGCATTAGTTTCTCGGAGAGATTTAGGATGTTCGTTCAATAGGGTGGGGGTGGCTCTGAGTATTATGGTGGGAACTTGGAAAGGTCATACTCCGCAGCGGAATGAAAAGTGCCGCCGGGTTCATGGGAGAAGTATCTATATACAGGGAAGAGTTTATAGCCGAAGAGTAAATCGAGAAGGATTATCGAGGGGGGTGAAGTTGGGATGAGGTTACACAAGATTTTTCATCTTTATGCGATCATGGATATTTTTGAAGAAATTTGAAGTAATCGTACGAGTGCTCGTATAATGAATGTTATGTGTGACGATGCCTTGGCAACAAGGTCCTCAATGAAGGAGCTCATTCCATTCCACATTGGAACCAATCACCGACCTGGAAATTTACATCAATTTAATCATTCATTCCTCCGAAACTTGGCTCGGCATTCACGTCAATCGAACATTGACACTAATTCTTTCCAGAGTAATGACAATTCTTCTGCATCTCGTCACATTCGGCATTCGGTTCTCACTGAAAATTTCGCTTGATACTCCCTCATTTGAGCATTCGTCGTGAATAAGCCATTATCAATACCGACCAAACAATAAAACAGATCTAGATTGTATTTCCCCGGTCGAAAAAACTCTAATTGATGAAATTTCACTTGTCATACGTAGTCGGAGGGTATATTGAAGATCATTAAAGTGTAAATATCGGGATTCGCTGCTTCGCATCACAAGGCGTGCAGTAATCAGGGAAGAACCTATTCGCGGAATGGCCTTTGGAGCGAGTGGCGCATTCGTGGAATTAGAGTCCGCCAGAAGCGAGAGTTAAATTTGAGATCTGTTCTTTGGTGAATTCGTTCTGTGGTGGAGATGTGTATGAAAATATGGACACACGAACGAAAAAACAGGCATGATCCTTCAGATGTTCTCGCAAAGCAGCGGTTCTCTAGGTTAAGTGAGCGGGAGATTGAAAGATGGGCAGAGAGGTGGACAACAACAGGCCCGGGAGGATCAAGGACCTCATACGCGCTCCTGATCTAAAATCCTGAACTGTTGTGTAAACGTACTTGATGTGTAATTCCAATGGGGAAGAGGGTGTACGAAGAAATGACCAAGGAAAAGGTGAGCAAGCATGATCCCTCAAGGACTTTACAAAGCAAGATGTTTCCCAGGCAAGCTGGCAGCTTGATGGGAAATGGGTAGTGGCCACCATGGAAAACTGGGGGGAGTGGCTCGAGAGTGGTAAATCTCAGGTGGAGGTAATGGGAAAAGGGTCGTATCTCTTGCACTTAAGCTTGTGCAATCGAAGTGCGGGCCGTAGATAGGCCGCAATCAATTTGAAGATGGAGAAGTAGAGGATGCAATAGAGCCGAAGAAGCTTGATCCCTCCCATATTCGCAAGGTAGGATGTTTTCGAGTAGTTGATAATTACGACGGGACGTTCGGCCGAAGAAGGTTGTTCAAGAATGTGCCTTATAGCTTGGACCAAGGTTCTAGGGTTGAAGATTTGAGGGGTCGACGAGGTAGATGCAGGCAAAAGATGGAGTACTAAGTTGGAAATCTGTAAGGAATGGCGCTGTTTCATACGTGAACGCAAGTATCGACGGGCAGTTAGAGGTCTTCGAATGTTTGGGAAATTCACAGAATTGCGGTTTTAAAATTCAAGGGGCAATGGTGGGAAGGTCTTTGCTTTCGATATGCGCGCGGAAGCCATCGTTTGAGATTGTAATCGAGGAAGCTAGTAAATACTCAAAGGATTCGAAGCAGAGTAATGAATGGAAGAGAAAGACGCCCAATAGCACCAAGCCTCCGACTTGATGTGAATAATCCATATATGAACAAGCAGGTACAATCCACATAAAGTATCTGTACCTGCATTTCCATCATCTAGCGGTGAACAACCTCCTTTCTCTGTTTCTCTTCTCGAATTTCTCGAAGGAATAAGGGGATCCTCAAAACTTCGTATCTGCTGCACTGCTCCTGCGGTCGAATTCTCTAGTTAAAGCAAATGTTCCATAGTATGCGCAAAAACAATATATTTTAGATGATCTTTAGACGATATTCCACTCAGCGAAAGGTGCGCGCGTCAAAAAGATCCATAATTGTTGGTGACGAGATAAAGTTACCCCTGAAAAGAACCCTGGATTCGAAAGGAAACACCCGATGATCGGACCCGTGGAAGAGCGCTTATGCAGGGTTTGAACTTGCTAGGTTACCTGTTTTTGGTTGATGGTAAGTGGTATGAGCCTCCTTGGACAGGGCAGAAGTTGAGTTTGTTATGTGCAGAGCATGGAGACTGATTGGAGAAGGGAGATGGGGCGATCATGAAATCATCAATCGCTATCATTGAATGGATAAATTTCGCTGTCGTATCGCACTCGTCAGAGTGTTCAGTATGATACATAGCCGAACCAAAGTTCGACAACTTCTGGGTCCTCCAAAATTTTTCATCGGGATGAGATGTGTTTGGGAATTATGTAGCGAAAAGGAAGCTTCCGAAGATATCTGAGTATGTAAATGGATATGTATCACATCTAGTGGGGAACAAACCGTTGCTTGGTCCGTGGTATTGGGATTATTAGGGGTTTGATTTGTAGTAATACGATTGGGGAAACGGCGAATAGTCAAAAGAACCTCTCCTCCTTTCTCTCGGTTTGGAATGAAACCGGATTCAAAAGAGAAGGGTCTTGATACCCCGTCGAAACTGGCGGTGGAAGATCTGGAAGAGATTTCATTCAAAGTTTCAAAGATTTCTGAATCAGTTCAATCAGATGATTTGGGAGGCGAGTATGTTGTGATTAAATCCTTGATCTAGAAGCGGAGATAATTTTGAATTATATGGGATGACACCAGAGTCATACAAATGCAATGAAAACTGCAATCAAAACTGCATGATCTTATCCACCGTATTGAGGTGTTGCAGAGATTATCCTCTTAAATCCCGTGTATGTTGTCGAACTTGTTTATATATCTGAGACTGTGTAACGAATGTCGTTGACACTTCACAAAACATGGCTTGAGAAGACGTCCAATCTGAAGGCTTCATTTCCCACCATTCCAAGCATCAAGCTTCTATTAGATGTGACCAAATTTTAATGAAGTTGTACAGCAGATTAAAAGCATTCAAAGCACGAGGACTGAGATGCGGGACGGGATATGGATCTTACCTTTAGCATGATATATATACCCTCTGTAGATTAAACAAATGGGATACATGGAGTAATTGAGAGAAGATATGGGGAAAAGGCTTGATGAAAGACCAATGAAGAAATAACAAGCAGAAGATGCATGGCATTTTCTGCATCAAAGACGGGACAACATCTGTGCAATAGAATGATATGAAGGAATTCCGAGGTTAACGAAAGAAATGTGATACCAACCTATGTTTGTGATCAATCATACAGTAAAAAGCAAGAAGTAAACTCCAGCATCAAGGCCAAATTCATCGATAGAAATTATTGAATTGGATTAACCATGTTTGATGCGATTGTTCGTAGGGTCGTACCTGTGCCTATCCCCAGTTCGTCAACAGCACGCCTAACAAATCCCAGAATAATTAGCTTCCGATCCGACCCCTTCATCGTTCCCGCTAAAATATATCCGCTCAGTGAGTGAGTACACCACACCATAAAACTTTTTACGCTTGTTGATTCTCTTCCCCAAAATTCCTTTTGATTGATTTATTGATCAAATATTATATTGTGGAGATGCCGCGGGATACTCTTCTATGAGTGGCTTGTAAATACGATGTCCCTTGACTTTGACGGAGATGGGATTTACCTGAAAAAAGTATTGAATCTAAAATCCATCTCAATTTGACTTACGAAACTTGACTTGACATATTTTTACCCGCAAAAACTACTCTCAAATTGGACTAGAAAGTTCTTCTGCTTCTTCTTCTCCCCCCCTTGTCTCAGGAACATTTCTGTTCACAAGTGGAGTATCTTCTATGGGTGGCTTGTATGGGTACAGAGAAGTGGAGACAGAATATCAAAAGGTACTTGGCAGTGAATCAACCCAGATTTTGGTGCATGAGAACTTTAGAAGTCTGGCGAGTCTGGCTAACACAAGATGTACGTACCATGTCCGTAGTTTAAAAGTCTACCCAGGCTACAATAGGAACAGGGCTCAATCAAGCAGGGCTCATCGAAAGGCTTCCCTTTCTTAATCTGGATATAATTTGTACCTTTCAAAATAATATATCCATAATTCTCTACCAAAAAAGGAATGACGGGGGTTATTTGTACGATTAACTTACTCATACATGACGACCAACTAGAAATTCATCTAAAGATCCCGCTTCGTTTCCATTTCACCACTATCATCTCACCTATCTCCTCCGCACTCTTCTTTTTACACTACTTGCTATACCTACCTACCATATTGAATGATTCTATTCATCAAGCAAAAGGGATTCATTAGAACCAAAGGGAGAGAGAGAAATTTCGGAACGAGGATTACGGAACGGAAAAGATTCTAATTCACCCACCCACCTTCCATCTACGATTCGACATACCTACCTGCCCATACTTCGTCCTTTGAATTTTCAATATATTCCATTCCAATTCGAAACCTTTCATTCTTCCCTTCTATTACGACGCAGTACAGATATTTTCGATAAGGGATTTCTAAAACTCTACGCGGATTCAATATTACGAAACTCAACATAATCAACACGGGTACTACACAACCACAACCTTACCCTTTCGACCTTCGACTTCGAATTTCATGTCCTTTCCTCTACTACAAGGAACACAACTTTGTCTTTGATAATCGTCAATACTATTTCTCCAATACTATGTTTTAATACGACTTTAATAATAATTTCTCGGACTTCCTCCAACGTTCTATCACAATCAATCGTTCATACCCCTTCAAGGCTCCAGTTACATTGACCTCTACAAAACTAATCATTCCACCGAAGATGATATTAATGGAGGGATTAATGTTAGTACCACCTGAAAGGGGTACAATAATTGGAAGGGCAGTTTGGAAGGTAAATTTCCCTTCTAGAATATTCATTTACGATTCTATTCCGAAGATGTTGTCTGACAAAGTTTTTTTCAATCTCACAGCCTCGATATGTTGTACTTGGCTCTGGTGCACATCTACACACACAAACCGAAATCCTCGAGAAGTCCAACTCAAAGAAAGGAAAGTCAATTAAAAGTACTTCTTCGAAACCCAGTTTGCCAGATTTAGGAACTGCTTCAGACGATGGATTGTTTATTTCAGTTTACAAGGCAAAGGTACAGTTAGGAATACATCTCTTTTTTGAATGGAGTCTCTGTGAGACAGACCTTGAAACTATGATAGTTGTGCTCGAATTGTTGCAGATGAGAACCTGTTTTTTCTTTCCAAATTGTCTTTGTCAATGGCAGTCGTTCCCAGAGTAAATTGTGAAAATGAGGGGCATAAGATTCTAACTTGTTGATCAAATAGGGCGATTGGGAGTATATTGCGCAACATCCAATATCTGCTTTTAAATCATGCGAAATCCGGTCATTGTCACATCGAAAACAAGCTACGCCATTGCCTACACTGATGTTAGAATTGAAACCAGATTCAATATCAGAGAAACAACGTAAAAGAAGATCAAGTCGAACAGGGGGATTAACATCAAGCAAGGATGCACAATGGGCGGATACACTCCTTTTCCGATCGGTTCCCGAAGATCGAAACAACATTTATGATTGGCAAATCACCATCAAGCCAAGATTACAAATTGATTATTATGAAGAGAGTCCTATGAGTCCTTTGAGTCCAATATTTACATCTTTCACCAATCCCTTTTCTTCCAGAGACCCAAGACCATCTTCACGAAATGGTAGACAGGATCAACAAACTCGACCACCTTTTCAATCATCCGGACAATACACTCAAACCTCAAGAGATCGTCCTTCCGCTATGATATCTCCATCTCCAAGTCTGCGTTCCCGACGCTCAGACCTTTCATCTCAAGCAAGCTCATCTCATCCGCCTATGGGTTTTACATCGGCTCATCCACAATACAATATTACAAGTTTACCCACGGATCTACCCTCGCCAATTTCCGTTTCTGGTTATGATAATTTTATTGAAGGTTGGACTTCGGCTCAAGGAAGATCTTCTGCATTATCTCATCACACTAGAGGTAGCAATAGTATTGCATCCGCTATTGGTCCTCCACTTGCGTCACCGACTACAACATCACCTGGTCCAAGAGAAACAATTCTGGATAGAGCGTTTCAAATGAGATGTATTCCAGGAAGCGAAAGATTGAGGGATGAAGAGGAAAAAGGTAGTAGTATTGCTAGATTCGAAGCATTGATGAGGGAGCATGATGAAAGGGCATTGCAAAGATCAGCGACTTCAGCTACTGATAGTAAGGGAAGATCTAAACCTGGTTGGGAACTTGAGGAGGAATCTGAGGAATCAGACAATGAGGACCCTGGTAATGTTTTGGAGCAACTGGATGGTCATGACATTCTTATGCCTACTCCAGCACAAAGAGCATTGGATTATATTGCTGGACGACAAACACCTTTACCTCGGGTATCCAGCTCTAGCTCAAGACCCATTTCACCAAATAGTCCACCAGTACCATTTTTGAATCGGGATGCTATGAATGCCCTCCACAGTGGTGGTTCAAGCTCTACCAACCAAAGTTTCTCTTCCGTTGGAAATGGTCTTCGCCCACGTACTGGTACAAATTCATCGCACATGCGAAAGAATAGTCGACCAACATCTCTGGCGTTACCTCCAAGATCTATCTCTTCGAATGTGGTATCTTCATCAAAGGATGGTGGAAGTGGCAACTCAGGTATAGCTCTTACCAAAGCCGAAATGGAGAAAAGAAGAAGCAGTACGTCTACGAAACGTCTTTCATTCCAGGAATTCGCAAGAAGATTGAGTTCGACAAGCTCCCTCTTGTTGGTTCAAACAAATGCTAGTTCAAACTCTGGCAGAGGAGATAGCTTTAGGGAAAGAGATGACTCTAGAAGAGGTAGTGTAAGTGATTATGGTCTTGAGAGTGCATCGGAACTCGCAGCGGATAATGAAATGGAGGGAAGAAGAGGAATGAGAGGTAATAATGGATTAAGTTTGAGAGGTGGAGATGTCCAAGTCGCCGATCGGGAAATGAAAAGATGTGGTGGCGGCTTTAGAGGAATGGGTGTTCTCGGTGGTGAAGGAGGCTTCCTTTGACCCTGAGGCAACAAGAGAAACGGTGAAGTGCCAGAGGAAGATTGCATATTTGTTTTGAGCGTTCTTGATTTCGCTATTCATTTCTTGTTTGTTTTTGTTGTTGTTTTGATCAGAGCGATGATACCTTAGATGATCTTTTATTTTTCGCGCATATTTAAAGGGTTTGGGCCGACCTGGTGCTTGGGCAACTCAGATGAGATGAGATGACTGAGATGAAAATCACGGAATGGCGTTCTTTGGCTTATTTAATTTTCATTCTTTCTCAGTCGGCTGACTGGGACTTCCTTGGTGGAGAGGATTCTATTCAATTGGATTGATAGATTGAATTGGTCTTGTGGTGGATTGGAGATGAAAGTGTACGATGCATTAGATATGCAAATTTTGACGTCGATGAGCCCAATTTCACTGAGAATGCTACAGCAGCACTACTCGTATGGCCTTGATGTATTTATGTATGAATACCCGATAGATGGCTAGTGTGTTGCCATTGGAGAGGGAATAGGGATGGGGATTGTGTGGAAAGTTATCAAAAGGGTTGGACAGAAAACTGGATGGGATAAAATGGAAAGGTGAATGAGATAGGGGGGGATGTGATAGATAACATAGGAAAAACACTGAATGAATATCAGGGTATTGAATAATCACATACTCTTTTACTATTAATACATCTCCTTCTCACTTGATTACCATTTGACATAATTTTAAAGTATCTGTGTCCTGGTATAGTCCAAAAGCGTCATCCAGAGATGTGGTTAAGTGGGGAGATGAAGGAAATGTCAGAGATCCTTACCTAAGAATGTGGTATGGGTAATCCTCACTACGAAAGCGGGTTGGGAGTAATAGATAAGTGAATTTTCGAAGACTTCTAGTGGGAATAGCTAAGTGGCTATTGACTTGTGCTGAAAGAACCTTCACGGGTGTCGAAAATAACATTCGGACGTTTATAGTTGATGACTTGTAAGGAGCCGACAGCTCTGAAGTTTGAATGCTTTCTTAATCTATGTTTATTTATTAAATTTTGTTAGAAATAGGGAGAAAGTTGAGACGATGAGGCGGGAAGAAGTATGATGAATGTCGAATGTCAGCTGAAAGTTTCACGTGATTTTTGCTGCAAGTGTGAGGATTTGCTTTCATTTGGGTATGAGATGGGTACCAGTATGGATTCTGGTTGCCATTATGAGAAGAATTTTGGGATTGATAGATTGAATGATAGATGGGGAGTGCCAGTTATAATAGGTGGGTGGGAATTCGCGAGCGAAGGTGTGCTGGGTTATTGGCAGATGCTGGGGGGTTTATGAGAGCTCCGGATTGTGTAATGCATTGCAGATGGGGGAGGTGTGTTTTTTTTGTTTCTTTGTTAGAAGGGGACTCTGATATGGGTGGTGAGGGAGGGGAGTAAAGAAATGTGAGGTAATGGGGAGAGAGACAAATGATGGCTGCTAGAAGAAATGGCGATGGAAGATTCATGTCAAGTATACACTGTGAGGGGATGCGTAGTTTTTTAAGAGCTAGGGCTCGCTGTATTCACAGCTGCGATTTCTCTATTCATATGAGAACCACGGGTGCGATCATGCATGTTCTTCTGTGGTCGGGGTTGTTACAATATACACAGTATCATAACATGGTGTTCCAAGATCACCTTGCAAGCGCTTTACTTTTTTGTTTCGTGGCTTGGAATTTTCATACTTTGCCTCAGCCAGTTTCGTATCTATCGGCTAGTATTTAGTGTTTTTTAATTGTCGACCTTTTGTTTTTGGGCTTGCAAATATCATCTCTTACTGCTGCTGCTTCCCCTCTCTGTTGTCATTGTAAATGACAGTTTTACGACAGGCAGACTTGAGAAGATGGGGTTTGGCTATCGTTCTATAAACTTGCCATAACTGTATTGCATTCTACTTTTTGATCTAACGCATAGCAGCATACAGGATAATACGGGACACCTGAATCTTCGGAATAAATAATGAGGTTAATGCGATTAAGTCAAAGAGGCTGAATTCCTTCCCCTTTGTGCTTGTCTATTGAGCATTGTTAGGAGTTAATAGCCGTGATAGTGGTTCAGAAAGGGAATTCGGCTCTTCCAGTTTAGAGATCATCGATACATTCCCCGAATTTCATGGGGAGAGTGCTACATACCTGCATATTTTCCCACCTCTCACACTCTCAGATCCTCAGTATACTTCAATATCTTCTTACATCGATCACTAGCCAAGTATCGAACAAGGTCAGACTCTATCAAGGTGGCCATAAGATTTACGATCTTAGGAAAGACCTCGTTCATTGGTTCTCGGATACAAAGGATGAAAAGTTCTTGACTTTGAACATATGCTTGTAACATTCTTGAGCAGATTAATGACTTGTAGTCATCGCTGTTTCTCTTGCTGTGTGTTTCATGTAAATTCTCTTCACGAATCCTTGCTGCTATACTCTTGATGTTACCCTGCTCGTACAATACTCGAATAATGGAGAATCCCTTCTCTACGCTCATTTTGAAAGTCTTGGCGGTTCGCAAGTGCTGGCTACAGGAGTAGTGGATTTGAAAGTTGTCATTGGGATGGATTTGAGATTGAAGGAGTGACTTGATCGCTTTCAAGACACGACAAACAACACTACTAGATCTCAACCCCTAACTTCTCCTATGATCCAGTCATAGGGCGGAAGTAAAAGGTTAGTTGCGATTGGTCTTACTAACACTTGGAGTGATTATTCATTTTCACATCACGTTGCAGTACATATTCCAATTCTCGCATGAACATGGTGACGATAAACTGAAACCTCACTCATAAAGCCACATATGAGGCCTCGTAAATCATCTTCACTGCTCGTAGAATCTAACCAAAGACATAAATGGTGGAATTCTTGTGATTTGTTCAATTACTAACGTCGGGCAATTATCACGTGACCCGCCTCAAGAGTTCCGCACATATTAAAACTAAATCTCGCGTCCCTCGATATCTTTTCTTCCTTCCCTAGACCAAGAATACCAAAATGTAAGAACACGCCTTCTTTTCCATTCTTCTTAGTGTTATTTTGGGGGCTTTTTCTTTTGCGCTAAGCAGTTCGTGTCAGAGGTCGAATACGCTTTTGTTTTCCTGGATGGATACCTTGATCGCAAGTAACATCGCAACTCAGTTACGAGGTCATCTTGATACGCTCGATCTTCAATTTAAAGATAGCTGCACAGAATTCTTTGAAGACTCTGTTGACTCTTACTTTCTCAACAGTACACAATGTTTATCTCATAATAACTCTTGGGTGTTGTTAGTACCTTGGCTCGGAACCGAATATCTTCTCACAGTATCCGGCCCTATCCTTCTCGATAACTCTTTTAACTTTCCTCTCGATGCAGTTTGCCAGTTGATGAAAATCATCTGGTCTTGCTTGTTTGAGAATTTCTCGAGTTTCTCCATCAAACGCTCTCTGTTGAGCAAGAAATCGGTCGCCTAACAAGCCCGAATTAAAAATTACCATTGTATTAATTGCTATTTATGCCTTCTCTACTGGAGCTTTAGCCGGTCTCTAAACAAAAGCTCAATGGTTTGTGATATGGACGGCTTTGTATCTCAAAGGGGCTCACTTTCTACTTTTGAGGATTCTCGCTGGGCAATCAAATCTTGCGAGTGCTTTCATTTTCCTGCAGCTGTACCCGCAATCAGGTGAATTAAGTCCAAGGATTTCCTTTCTTTCATTCTTTCTCAAAGCTGGAATTGTTCGTCTAGAGGTCAAACTTGTGTGGTAACAATCGAGTGTCACCAACAACTATCTACCACCACCCGCTGTGTTCAACATGCGCAAAGGAGGGCGAGGAGTTTGAGGAAACGGGGACCGTACTCATAATTGTGCGTTCTGAAATACAATAAGGGATCAATTTCGACCGCAGAAATTATTTTCGGTGGGAGAGGGAGGAGGAGCGGGTGGATGGACTGTGGTATTCGCGGAATTTCGTAGACAAGTGTTAGGGGAATTCGCAGGCTTCCAAACAAAACTATGTCTCGTTTGGGTTCAAACCTTGCGAACTAAGGGGCACCGTAGACTCAGCTGCGTTGGTAACCATAGTCCTGCAGAGGAAATATCAATAAATATTTACCAGCCCATTATTTCATAACATCAATGAGTGTGCGTTATTTTGCGTGGATAATCGTCCTTGTTAGGGCTGCAATTATGAGGCCGCGAGGTTTGATGGGCGTCGGAGTGATGAGTTGAATTCCGCCTATGTTTTGCAGTGTAGGCAATAGTATACTACAGTGAAACTGTGGTGTGTATTAGCATATTGATATTACAATTAGTATGTATAGAAAGGAGGTTATACTACTTTTGTATATATTTATATGCTTAAAGAATATTAGTAATATATTAAAATACTGGAATTTAATACAAAATATATATATTCCTATTCTAATTAGGTTAGAAATAAGGGATTCTTATTTAATTTGAAATAAGGAATGGAATTTTATTATTTAATATGAATAGAAATCCTTTTTTTCTGGTTTAGTTTAGATAGAAATGAATATTTTATAATGAATTCCAGTATCTCAGTATATTGCTAGTAGTATTGAATAAATAAATAATATTGAATATTTTCAGTAGTATTGAATTCTATATTATATATGGATGTATTTCGAAAAGAATTGATATGTATCATTAAACTAATTTGTATACGGATTACAGGAAATACTATTGCCTACACTGATGTTTTGTGGTTGTTAGCGATGTTATTCCTTGGTCACAACACGATTCCGTTCTGAAACTCTTATCTGTTGCGTTCGTACGGTAATAGTTTGTTCTGAGGGCGCTAGTGTAGATGCTCGCTGTGGTTGTTTTCAGTACTCCATCCCATTCTATAAAAGTGTAGCTTTTTGTATGGGTCTTTTGGAACCCTCTTTGCTGTGTCGATTAAGTGCTCTCCTTGTGCTACTGCTATTCATTGCGATGGTAGCCATAGAACATGGTAGCCAGAAAGCAGTCCCAAGGAGAAAAATAAAAGCCACAAAGTCAAGGTGATGTTTTGCGCCGAGTCCATCACTGCCATCTACTTGGGGTAGGCTGTGATAAGAAAGGATCTAGATGGCCAAAATCATATCGGGACATAGACTGTAGGGAATCACCGAGCGTTGATGACATGCCATTTGCTATAATTCATGGTGGAGGAGAAAGCTATGCGGTATTGGCCGAGTACCAGACATTGATTTGGCAGGTGCTCGTAGTTTCCAAGCTTCGTGGGTCATAATTTCTATACGAATAATATCGATCAATTCGCCCAAAAACTTGGATCCGTCAGGGAGCATGATTGTCATAAGATCTACAGTCCGCAACCGCCTATTATTTCTTCTTGAGAAGTATTGTAAATACTCATAATTACTCGAAGCGGTTGATCTTCAATTTAATATTGTTGTGAATCAATCCCTAGCGCTGAGATAGTGACGTCACTAAAGTCTTGTGTGTCAATACTAAATTTTCTGTCAGTCATGAAGTAATTCAAATAGCTGAGAGAACACAATTCATATCATATAACAGGGTTCTCTATTCAATTCTACCAAAACATCCACTCACCTATCTACTTCAGACCGTTACTTCTTCTGTGAATTCCGGGAAGTGGGGCCTGATTATAATTCGCTTAAGGTTGAAGCTAAAGGGGTCGCGCCTTCCCTTAATTTTTAGGGTTC